CAGCTTTGTCAAAATAAGTTTGTATTTCTTGTCAGATTGTATATTATTAATTATTTTATCATCTAAACATGATTTTTTAGCAAGCAATCTTAAAATAATCTCAGCTTTAACGTTTTTTTGAAAAGGCTACATTGAATCCTGCATCTCAAGCCAAACTGCTCACAACTAAATCAGCATCGAGAAAAAAGCAACAAACAGTAGTGATCTTCAATGTGCTGCTGCTCGTGGAAAAGGACAGTTTATGTTGGACTCATGTGCACTCATCCTGATAACATGTTGCGCTGCCCTTATTTACGTGCACACCCAGGCTTCAGCTTATCCATGGTCTTGTTGAGGCGATACAAGCCATACATGGTAGCAAGAGTGAGGAACAGGCCTGTGGTCACGAGAAGGATGTGAGTGAACATGAGGAACCCAGCCCAGGCTGTGTCTGAGGGCACAAACCACACCAACACCCTGCCCCTGTGGTAATTGTGGTGAACATACTCCGGGCCCTGCACGATCACCAGCCGTTCATAGAAAGCATGTGACGGCTGGTAGGTCACGTGACTCTCGATACTGAGAGGGAGCTCTTCTTTAGGTAGGGCGGTGGTTGCAGGGTGGAGGGATGATGTCGCAGCATCGGAGGTGGTTGATTTTGCAGGTTCGGTGGATGATGGGATGATGACTTCACTGGTGCTCCAGGGTGTTACGGGTGGTGTGGTTGTTGAGGCTGAATCACTGGTTGAGATGGCGTGGAATGGTTGTGTCGGTTCAGGCACGCTTTTCTGTGTAGGGAAAAAACTGGTAGCATCGCAATATGTGAACTCCTGATCACGCAGAGAGTCTACTTTACGGAGCAGTTTGTACTCTGGACTTTGACATATCACCTTGTCTTTGTCAATGACCACATGCACATTCCTTCTTATCCATCTTGCAATACCTCTGATGCTGCACGTGCACTCCCAGGGGTTGCCACTCAGAGTCAGATTGCCCAACGCTGCATTTGACAAGAAAATATCTCCCGGCAGAGTCTTGAGGTAGTTATTCTTCAAATCGATGGTCTGAAGATTTTTGAGGCCCTGAAAAGTGTTTTGGGTTAGGTCCTGCAGCTTGTTGTCTGTCAGAACCAACACTCTCAGTGAGGTGAGTTCAGAGAACAGCTGAGGATGTAGATAGTGGAGGTCGTTGTATTTCAGTGAGAGCTTCTGCAGGTGGGGGAGACAGCAGAAAAGGTCTGCGGGCAACACTCTGAGTTTGTCATTTAAAAGGAGGTGAAGCTTCAACAGCCTGGACATGTTGCTGAATAGATTCCCAGGAACAGTAATGAGATTGGTGTTGTACAGATAAAATTCTTTCATCTCAGGCATGTGACCCATCAGCTGGTGTGGTAGGGAAAGCAGTGGGTTTTCGTAGAGGGTCAACTTCCTCAGCTTGGGCATGTTATAAAAGGCTTTTTCTGGGACACCCTGAAGTTGGTTGGAGGACAAAGTGAGAGTCCTTAGGTTCCTCAGTGAGTGGAACAGAAGCCGCGGAAGCCTGGCGATCTGGTTGTGGTGGATCGTTAGCTCCTGGAGGTTGACGAGTGCATCAAACATCTCGGGCTCCAGCTCCTCGAGCTCATTGTTGTACATGAAGAGGCGGCTAAGGTTGCTCAAGGAGTGAAAGATGGTGGGAGAAAGCCTCTTTATGGAGTTCCTGCCAAGATTCAGATAGATGAGGTTGGTCAGTCCATTGAAAGAATCCGGAGCAAGATTCCTCAGTTTGTTGCGGCTCAGGTCCAGAATCTGCAACGTAACATGTCTGTTTAATATTTCTGGAGAAATGGTCTCCAGCTGGTTTCCATCTAAAAACAGCTGCTCCAGTCTTGTCAGCGGACTGAACACTAGAGCAGGAAGCGTGGTGAGATTGTTGGACGACAGCTTGACGGACGTGAGCTGCGGAGCGACGTGGAACGCCAGTGGATGGATGGTGTGTAGGGGGCTGTGAGTCAGACTGAAGCGCAGAACTGGGTTAAGGTTTACCAGGCTCTGCTCGTTTATGACATTCATGTTTGTGTTCTTGAGGTTCAGCATGTATGTGTCTGGGGGCAGCTCCTTTGGTATGTCCGTGACCATGTCGCCGGTGCACAAGGCGACATTGTTATGCGAACAGTCACAGCTCTGGGGGCATCCCATGCTATAGGGGCAGTGAGGAAGTATGACGAGGATAAGTATGATCCACAAAGGGCCTGCATGGTGGAAACAAGGACACATTT